TCGCCTCCCGTGTAAAAATGGTTTTTTTTTTTTTTTTTTTTTTTAAGGGAATTAATACTTTTAAAATCTTAATAATAACTTTTTTTATTTTTTTCAGGCAATAAATTGTTAATATGGTAGCTATTGGAGCATATTTTGATGATAAATTGTAAAATTTTAGGAGTTATTTTAATTTTTTTAACTATCTCAATTTTATATATTTTAATCTAAATTAAATTTAAATAATATCTCATTTAAAAATATTTTCTTGTTTAATAAATAATTTTAGTTAGTGGCAAATGACAAAAAGATAATTATTTTTCAAAAAATATTAACTTTCTAAATAAATTATTTTTTAAATAAGTTGATTTATTTTTAAAAATAAAAAAATAAATAACTATATTTTAAAGTAAAATAAAAAATAATTAATAGATCATTAATGAATAAAACAGACACTTTTTCTCACTTGCATTTTTTTAATTATCTTTTTTTATTTTACTGATATGCTAAAAAATATGTGATCACTGAGATTATTTACTCACTATAATTTATTTAAAATTTAATCACAGTATGACACATTATTGATATAAGTAATTATACAATCTATAAACTATACAATCAAATTGATTTGTATAAATTTGTCAAAACAATTGAACTGTGAGATGAATAATAACACGTGTCAAATTCTTCAACATTTGAACTAATCAAATTGGGTTAAGATATGACCATGACTTTGTCATTTGTTTAGGATATGACAATTAGTTAACTAAGTGTGTCAATCATCATAATTGTCAATGATGTAAAATTAGTTACATGCTAACATATTCAAGACTTTATCGTGATTTATCTATTGGTAGTAATATTCATATACCATCATTGCTAGTTATCTATTTTTAGTTCATAAAAATTGTCCCCATAAAAATAGTTTATTCATGTATTAAAATAATAGTATGTTGTCACTGCTTTAGAATGACTAATATAAAACAGTGGGGTATTAGGTTTGCGTGAAAGTCTAACTTGAATCACAATTTTTTTTTCATCATAAGACTTTGCATCAAACCGAAGCATGGGCCTTGGATCATAATTATTGTATTCTTATAAAACGTAATGCATAAAAATGACATGAAAGTCGATATTTAAAAACCATACCTCGATCGGGATTTCTACGAGCCTTTTGCTTTATGAACCCTCATGATGTTGAAGGAGATGGAGTGGATGATGTGTGGAAAAGAGGTGATGAGAAAGGTGCTAGAGAAAAAGATAATTATGAGGATGATGAGGTCGAGTGTTGCAAAGGGGGAGTGGTTGCCCGAGGAAGTATAGAAGGAGGTAGGCTTATGGTTAGTGCTTTGGTGCAAGAGGCAATGAGGTTTCAGGATGGAATGAAAGGAGGACATGGTGGTGATGGATCATGTCACAAAATTGTTGCAGTGAGAGAAAGTTTGATACTTGCATCTGTCGCTATTTTCATATAACAGGCTTTTTTTGTCTTTTTATTTTTCTTTATTTTAAGGAAATAAATTCTTTTAAAATGTTGATAACAACTTGCTTATTTTTTTCGGGCACGAGAGCAACCTAGAAATTTAGATTTTTTCATTTATTTATATCAAATATATAACGCATTTATAAATTTGTAAAACAAATTTTGATTTTCTTATGATCTTTTTTAATATATTTTAATTTAAAATAAATTTTAAATAATCCCTAATATAAATAGTTTTTTATAGCAAATAGTGTAACACATTGACACGTTATTGATATATATATATATATATAGGTCCAAGTCAACATTGAGATGTTAAAAAAAAAATTTTGAGATGAATATAAGCAATTATATAATAAAGATCTATTATTAAATATTTTATATATAATAAGGGAATCAAATTGATATGTCCTTATAAATTTTTCAAATCAAATGTATGATTTTGAGACAAAATTACAAATCTCAAGTCAAATAATTAAGCTTGGTGATATGAATATCAACACTTGTTAAATTAATTAATATTTGGACTAATCAAATTGGGCGAAGTTATCATCGTTGTTCATTTAGGATATGTTGATTAGTTCGACTGCGTGCAAGAACCTTGTCAATCATCAAAACTGTCAATGATGTGATTTTATTCGCTTGCTAAAATATTCAAAATTAAGAGGTTTATTTATTGGTTTTGACATTTATATATGATTATTTCTCACCATCTATTTTGTGCATAAGAATTCTTTTAACAAAAGGGGTTTAATAATAAATAAAAATAATAGGATGTTGTCAGTGCTTTCGAATGACTCTAATATAATGATGACATTTTTAAAATTTAAAGCTAATATGTCTTACTCGTTGAAAGATTTGATCTCTTTAAGCATGTAGATATTAGGTTCACACAAAAGTCTAACTTAGATCATAGATTTTTTTCTTCATAAGTCTTTTGGTCATACTTAGCTTTGCATCATAATTGTTGTAATCTTAGAAAATATAATGTATAGAGATGATGTGAAAGTCAAGATTTAAATACCATAGCTCGATTTCTATAAGCATTTTGCTCTATGAATGCTCATCATGGTGCATCTTCTCTTTAATACTTCATTAAATCTTACCTATATTGAGCATTTATCAAGCCTCCATCCTTGTATAAACGGTTGTATGGCAACTTCTCCCTCATATAGCACTTCTTGTTTGAGATACTATTGTTGCTTGTATTGATTACAATCAACAATGCTATTTTAAATAGCTTTTCCGAACTTAGTCCAATACTTTGAGCTTCTCTCATCAACACTAACATCATAGAAGAGAGACAACCTCCACATATCATTCCCTCATTCCTAAAATAACAATATTAGCAACAAAGATTTAATCAACATTTTAGTGCTGAGGATGTGAAATTCTCTAATTACAGGCTTTCTATTGGGAAAAAATGGTAGGAATTTGTTTTGGCAAGTCATTGGACCAGTAAACATCCATTCCCATGTTGCTTTCTTGCTATAGCATTGTGACCTCAAATTTGAAAGTCAAATTAGATTATTTAAGCTTATTGGAGAGTTGTGGAATAAAGATTGACTTTCAAATGATGCTAGCAAAAACTAAGACCCCATTGGTTAGAAACATTTTAACAGTTAGTAAAACTTGATTACAATTGGCAAAGGGTTATATTCAAATCTCCCCTCACAGCTCTTTATCTATCAATTTTCATTAACATGAATAGAAATAGAATTAATTAATAAAGACAATAAGATTATAAATAAAAACTTATAAATATTGTATCTCTTTTGCTTATGATAATCAAACATGCACATGCTTACCTCCCTAATCACATCAAACGATCAAGATGTGAAAAATTAAAAGTCGAGCACCCCAAAACACATGATCTAAAGACCCCTCACATCAATAATTGTTCATAAATTGTACACATATCCCAAGTGGTTAGTACTCAAGGAACTTAATCTTCTAATATAACTTAAACATGTACATGTTATTATAAGTACACTGCCTTCCATCATTACTTTCTCTATCATGAACATTGAACAATCATATTATAAATTATATTCTTACATAATATCCTAATAGCACTAAAAAGGAATCAAATTGAAAGAACCTAAATTACAAATTAATCATTTACATCATAAATAATTAAATTAATTTCGGGCAATATTATACATATATATATATACATATATGTATGTATACACACACACAGAGATATGTATATATATAGTACAATGGCGAGCCCAAAATATCTGAAACCGAGAGCTTCTAAAAGTATGTGTGTGTGTGTGTACATACTATATATATATATATATATATATATATACAGTAAAATAAAGAGATTATAAAATTAGTTAAGCATGTGCTGATTATTAAGTAAGGCCACAAATCATCTCTTTGTTCTATAATTGAAGTTTGTTGAGTTAACAGGACATACCCGCCATTTAGATTATTAATTCATATAGCATGCATACGATAAACAAACACTAATCATTTAATTAGCGAATCTAACGTCCTGTTATTTATTTATTTAATGGGAAATTTACAAATATCCCACAAAATTCTTATATATTTATACATAGAACGTCCAATATTTGATATTTACACTTATATCATACTGGTTTTATAAATATGCATGATTCATTTATTTATTTTTGTGATGTTGAAGATTTATAAACATGAAGGCATTGGATGTGTAAATACATAAGAATTGTGTGGTAAATATGTAAATGTCCTTCTTTTTCGAAAATATTTATATGAGTCACTTCCTCATAATGCATGATTGTGGGACTAATTTTATGAAAGATGAATGTCTGATCTACTAACTTGTCAATGCTATTCAACGATGTTAAATTATGCATTATTAAATTAGTATCCCCAAGAAAGCTCATCTTCCTAGTCCGATCTATCAAAATATTTAGAAATTATTTTTTGGAATATCATATATAATTAGGTGGACGTGTGAGATATTAGAGTTTAGTTGTAATATCATGAAATAGAGGAATATACTTGATGTTTGCAGCGAATTTTTATTATTTGGCATGAATTTTGAGGCATTTTTTCAGAAAAAAAAAATCTCACAGATTCAAATTTAAGATTATCTAGAGCTCTGATTTTAACAAGTTCATAGATAAACGGACTGTCTAGATAAGAAGAACCTAATGATATCAACATTGGTCCAATTTGATTCT